ACTACGCAGCTTTTTGAAACGGAGAGATTAAGAGCGTTTGAGTGTAGGCAAATTTTAAGTTTGGACAGTGCTCTACTTAAAATATTACTTATTTCTAAAATTGATCGTCCCGAAACATATACAACTAAATCGTCTGCATATTGTAATACCGACACATTGTTACAATCACTATTTGAATTTTGAATGGCTTTATCGAGGTCATGTGTATAAATGTTATACAAGATAGGGCTTATGACACATCCCTGGGGTAAACCCTTCCATAAAGTTCTAGATATATACTTTGAATCGCCCGTATCAATTGTAATCACTCTACCAGACAAGTAAATAATTATAAAATTAGTGATCAAAAGAGGAACTTTTAGGTTTAGGAGTTTCAGCTTTAATACGTGCAGATCGACGTTATCATAGGCCGAATTTATATCTAAGAAAGCTGCAAGTGTTGATTCATTGTTACTTAATGATAATCTTATATCGGTAGTAAATACACCAAGACTATCCATAGTACTTCGTCCCTTTCTAAAACCGTATTGGTTCGGAGCAAGAAATTCATGAGTTTCAACAAACCATTCTAATCGATTTTTTATTAGATGTTCGGTTAATTTAGCAAGAACGGATGAGAGGGCTATTGGACTATATGAATTCGCATCAGAAGGAGGCTTATTTGGTTTTAGAATAGGAATTACTTCTTGTAATTTCCACGACGTAGGAATATTGCCAGAAATCAAAATGGAATTAATTAATTCTAAAAAATAACAAAGGCTAGAATCGCTTACATGAGAGAGAAAAGAATATGGTATACCGTCAGTTCCTGGAGCAGAATCTTTAACGTAGGCTAAAACACCTTTCAGCTCTGCAAGGCTATAAGGAGAATCGAGACTTGTTAAGCTGTTGGTATTAATTATTGGGGAAAGAGTATGAGAGATAAAGATATTGGGAACTAGCGGAGGAGCAAGTTTATCTAAAAAGTTGTCTACTACATCTTTTGGAAGAAAAGATGCACCAGGTTCCTTAAAAGCTGATCGAAAACGACGTATATTTTGCCAAACTACAGAAAGTGAGACGTCAGGTGATAAAGAAACACAAAAGGTCTTCCACCCTTCCCATTTCTTTTTTTTAAGAAGCTTCTTTATTACACGATATAATAAATCAATGTTTTCGTTCGTAGAATTTCCTTTATATAATTTTTCTGTAAGCTTCCTCTTTTTAACTGCTAATGAACACCCGTTATCCCACCAAGGGGGAGATGGAATCTTGTTACGATTATTATTTTTGACTGGGAACACCTTCTCTGCAGCTTGCAACATAGTCAATGCAAAGGCTTCTGCACTAACTTCGTGATTGTTTTGTTCGATGGACGAGAGGTTAGAAATTACCTGTTCTACTTCTTGTTTGTACAAAAACCAATCAGCATTTTCAAGTTTAAATTTTATTCTAGGAGAGCGATTATTATAGTACGAGATGATAATGTTAAAGGAAAATTTATTAATATTGGAAAATGATCGCTACTATAAGTGGAAGATAAAGTTTTCCAAGAAATGATAGAAGCTAAATTAGGTGAACAGAAGGATAGATCGGGGTCACTGACTCCTTCATGGGGTTGTGAGCGACGAGTTGCCTCACCACTATTTAAAATACACCAGTTATATTTATCAACCATATCTAACAGTCGAGAGCCATAATGACTACTATTGGAGCTGCCCCATGTTACATGCTGGGCAATCTTCCATGATTAAGATTGGATTGGGAAGTATAGAAAAAATTGATTCTATTTCATTATATACACTTAAAGAGGGGTGTGGAATATATAGAGAAACAAAACATATGTTGTTATTGCTAACGGCAATAATTGAAAAATCAGAACTATGATTTGGAATAGTAAACTGAGAAAAATTAATATCATTTCTAATGAAGATTGCTACTCCGCCGTATCCGCCTGACCTATCTTGACGAACACTAGAATATTTAGGAATTCGGAAATTAAAACCGGGACGTAGCCAGGTTTCTTGTAATGAAATTAAAAAAGGTTGATAAGTATTTGCTAAATAGATTATATCACTTTATTTAGAGCTAATGCTGCGAAAATTCCACTGAATTATTTGTGACTGATCCATTATTGTTGTTATTTGAAGATTCATTTGCAATAAAAGTGGCAGTGTTGGACGGTATAGAATGTTCAGATATTACTTGTGAAGATTGAAAAAGAAAATTTACAAGAGTGAGTATTAAATCACGAGTTGACAAGTTTTGAAGGGAGTTGAAATCACACCCTGTTCCAACTGTTGGTAATGGAATATCATATTCATTTGTTAATTTCGCATGAGCTACTTTGTCAAATCCTTTACCAAGTTGTACAGGAGTTTTAGGCTTTAGAAAAACTGTATTTTTGTAAGATTTGTTAACATTTTCTGGCTTTGGATTCAAGACCTTTATTTGTGATGATGTAGTAGATATTGGAGTAGACAAAACATCACAATATGATCTACCAATAGGAGGTTGTAATTTCTGAGCTTCTGCATATGAGCGACAACTTTTGGCCGTAGATTCTTTAATATTTTATTGCCTAAAAAACTCAGGGCATTTACGGCTAGTGGCAAAATGTGATCTAGAACAAAGGCAACATGTAACATTTTCTTCTACAACATTGCAACAGTCACCAGAGTGACCATTACCACATTTGAAACAACGAGGAGAAGACCTACATTGTGATTTAATGTGACCATATCGACAGCATTGAAAACACTGAATAGTCGGATAAATGTACAGATCAACAGGTAAAGAATTATAACATAAATATACACGTTTTGGTAAGATTTGGCCATCAAAAGTGAGCACTACTGTTTCAATTGGAATGTAACTTGTACTACCATTATTATTTACTTTTTTATTAAATCTTCTTACCTTATGAATAGCTCCACATCCAATGGGCACATTTACATTTTTTAAAATCTCTTCCTCTGACCAGTTTGTAGGGATTCCCCTCACAACACCCATACGAGTAATATTGTTAGTGGGAATGAATGACTTTAAATTGTTCTTTTTTATTTCAGGATTATATATGATAAGTTAGCATCTTCAAAATGGTTAAATGGCAAGTAAAAGTCTGTTTCTGCCAATGCGCTTCAAACTACCATTAACAATATTTTTAATGGAGTGCTTTTTTAAGAACTGTCCAAAGGAAACTGGGTGGATTGATACTTTATTATTCGGATCTTCTTGAATCTTTTGGATGTGAACAATAAAAGGAGAGGCATCTGATGACTGATAAAGAATTCTACCTATTGGCTGCTGTGATGATTTTTTGTTGTCAATAGAAGATTGAGTGTATTGTAATTGAGATGCTGAATTGGAAGAAGGAATTGAAAGTAAATTAGTTTGCATTGGTATACTAACGGGGGCAGAAGAAGCTAAATCGCATTTACAGTCTGTTTCACTAGAATCAATTGAAGATTTATGATGTTTCCTCTTTTTTTTATTACAATGTTTGCAGATCCTACTGGCATGTGTTCTTTTTCTTTTAGAGTTAGTTCTGGGGTTCGAGCAATCGGAATCTAGTACAGATCCCTCTGTGTCTAAGCCGGAATTACAATCCACGGTAATTACATTCGACACCTGGGGGCCAGAGCCCCCAGGGTCGTCTGGATCAAACATAAAATGAGAACTGAAATTAAAACTATTACTTACCAACTATAAGAAGAAAAATACAACATGTACACTAAATAGATATCAATAAACTAAAATATTAACACAATACTACTCAACTGATCCAATTTACATTAAAAAAGTGAGTTTATAAAATTCTCACGACCAATCAGACCGAAGTTTCCCGCGTTTTTCCTGGTACGGTCTTTCGAAAATTATGTGGGTAAATACTTTTTTTTTTATCAAGATCAAAGATTATGAGCCACTTCGTTAAAATATCAATTGAGCACTAGGACCGTATTAATTTAAGCTTTTCGAACGGAAAATCCATTTAATATTTTTATAACATACATTCAAATTATTAATATGTCTTTCACCATATCATAAAATTAACTAAACGTAATGAAGCTTATTTAGGTAATGTAACCCATATTTTCCACGTTTTTACATGATATATTATTGTATATCATGTTTATATATATTTCCATTGTTTTTACAAAACTATGAGCTACTAATAACCAATGAATCCTTGTATGTTGTGAAATACTCACATCGCACGACGAATCCGTTTTCACGGAATATCGCTTGTTTAAATCTGGTACTATACTCCAAAGAGATTAAACACTTTACCAGATTCAATAGCATTATTTAAAAGGACACTTGAAAATATGCAGGTACTTACATTCTTATTATTTTTCACACACTGCTGCTTTGAAATATTCACTCACTTTTATTTCGATTTATTAGCAATAAAATAATTTCTTGATAACTTATCGGTGTTTTAAACCGTGTTAATGCTACGGGGAAAAGACGCCAATGAACAAGGTGCCGCGTTTTCACTGCCCGCCGAGTCAACGGAAGTTTGTCAACCGGAAGTGAAAAAGAGGACAAAAATGATTAAAATTACAGGAAACGGAAATGCCTATCTCAATTATAAAGCTTCGAATAACGGTCAAGTACTTTTAATTTTCTATTAATATAAATTCAAATTTAATTAAAATATATATATATATATATCCTACTTAATATTATAAATATGAAAGTTTGTATGTTTTTACTCAATCACGGAAAAACGGATTTAGATGAACTTTGGTACGCAGATATATTTTGACCTGGATTAAGACATACCTTCCTTCTATCCTACCTATTCTATACCTTCTATCCTGGAAAAATTACCCTGTGGAATTTTCAAAAATACGATTAGAATGCATCACACCCACTTTCAAATGTAAAAGAAAGAACAAAGAAAACTGAATACTAGGCTGTATGGCCATTGTTCCCTTTGCCTTCCGTAGAAAGGGAGAACGTCAAAAAAACATAAAAAAGTTATCTGTGATGTGAAGGATTTTTTACGTTGTCTTGTGACAGCAGTCAAGTCAAGTCAGTTAGTAATTTGGAAAGTCGGTCGATGGTTTTCATAAGAAATTTTCTATATTTCTATCAAGATACCTGTCTACTTTAATTCGTGTATGTTATAAACTTATCTTTTAGGAATTATTAATAATTCTTTGTCGTAGACGGCGTTTCAGATGTTCGTACTGTATAAAAGTTTATATTGTGCTTGTGTTGCAGTTGTATTGATTTTCAAGTGATGGAACCAAATCCTGTGATTATTGCTGCTACGGCAAAACATACTGCATCTGTGAGTAGTTTGTTTGATGTACGAAACGCGGGATGAAAGTTCATATTCTCAAAATTAATTATGTTTTGTTTTCAGCTGATATTCTTTCACGGTTTAGGCGATACTGGGTTAGTATCTATGCACTGTAATTTGTTCTTACTTTACTAAAACTATTGCGTGAGAAAACGTAGCTGAATATGTCCTTAAATATGTAAAAAATATAACCTAATCTCGTATTTATTTGTCACTGCAGACATGGTTGGGCTAGTACAATTGCAGCAATAAGGGGACCTCATGTGAAAGTAATCTGTCCCACAGCTTCTACTATGCCAGTAACATTAAATGCTGGGTTCCGAATGCCATCTTGGTTTGATTTGAGGAGCCTTGATGCCACTGCTCCTGAAGATGAAGAAGGAATATTAAGGGCTACTAGTCTTGTCCATGGACTAATTTCAGATGAAGTCAAGGTAATGAGAGCTAAATATTATTGGGTAACATTATTTATGTATTTATTTGAGACGACCAACAAACACAAACCACCAAATATATTATTTTTTTATCAACATTATAAGTATAATGAAAAATATCTATCTACAAATTCACAAAATAAAACATGAATGAAACACTACTGTTATCACTTTTAATATGTTAATCCAGTTATTGAATAAATGAGTTTTTTTTTTCATGTAATTTGCTAGTAGTTGTAGGCCCTTTTTATATGAAGAGCCTAGCTTGCACAAAAAAACATAGTACACATCAAACATATTGTAGCAGCCATATTAATATTAACATTTAAAAATAAACACATTGGATTCTCTATAATGTAAATTTATACTAATAAATTCCTCAATTGGTTTTTGATACAATAAATTACAAAATGATTAAAATTCATAAATTTGTAGTACAGTCAAACACATCAAACTATTGAAATTTTATTTACTATTAATAAATGTTAGCATATTATGTATTATATTTTAATCATTATGTAAAATAAAGATGATTGGTAATCAATAAAGTAACATTTCCTTATAATAGAGGCAAAATTGTACCTTTTATTTTCAAGACAACAATTCTAGCTTACCCAAACATCAAACCTTAGCCACTCCTCGGAAATTGCATTAAGTTGTTGCATCATCTCACTGCAAAAATAATAAAATTGTACACATTTTTGTAAATTTTAGAGTAAACTGATGTCTCTTGGTGTGGACCTATGCATGTATATTTGTGGACCATTAAATAGTTATTAAATAAATGTGTTTTAGGCTGGTATTCCTGCAACCCGCATATTGGTTGGAGGCTTTTCTCAAGGAGGAGCTTTAGCCCTTCATGCAGCACTGACTTATCCTGAGAGATTGGCTGGTGTAATGTCACTGTCTTGTTGGCTACCAAGACATGCCCATTTTCCAGATGGTGTCAAGGCTCCACTAGATCTACCGGTATTTTTTTATTATCATATTATCACATTTGTAGATCGTACTAATTGTTTATTTGAAAAAGTTTATTTACATTTTACCAACATTATCCTTTTTAGAATTAGTAATGCAGGATATAAGGTTAAATGTGTATTGAACTGTTCAAATTATTTGAAAGCACCTATTGTTTAAATATGATAAGTGCATAACAATCAATTTAACATACAATACAAACAAAATCACTATTTAAATGTACACAACATTCAATGCACATTCAATACACCTAGAGATGTGAAAAATAGTTTAGTAAAAGTATTTAAATACAAAATGCAAATGCATAGTTGTTAGCACTATTTCAAATAGAAATACAAAATAGTTTTAATAAGTATTTAAATACAAAATGTAAAATACATATTATCAAAACCTATTTTGAAAAAATACCTTGTAAGCGTAAGCACTTATTTTTATTGTAACTGATTTTAAAACTAGTATTAGTTCAAAGAGTTCATCTTTCATGTTCCGCCTATGGGGCCTCATAATCATTCCACCAAAAGGAAATAGTCATTCAACAAGGGCAGAACTCTGTAAGCAGGTACTATATTTAAGGAAGAGTTTATTTACATTTTTATACCTGTTCATGGATTCTAAGCTATTGTCTTCATCTTTTAAATATTGTAGTGTTTCCAGATCTATTGTAGTAGTATTAACATTATCACTGGCTGCTAAAGAATCAGAGTCCTCAACAAACATAATAAGATTCTGTCCTTTCCTTCTTTTTATCAGAGTGACTCCCGGTGCCAAAATTACCTCACTGAAATGGGGTATTTGACAATATTAAAAATTATGGTCATCCCATAAGATAATAACGTAATAACACATACACACATCAAAAGTGTCTAGGGATCAACATATATTTTTGCAATAACTTTTCTCCTGATTGATATTAATTAAAATTTTCTTTAAGGATTCATCAAATAAAGTGTTTTCGTTTGTCACAGTAACGATAAACCAAGTCACCTTTGCATTAATAAAGAAATTTGCCATTTTCCTAATAAAGGGATTTTTGACATTTGAACCACTAACACAAAAGTTCGAAAAAAAGACTGAAATAACAGTTTTCTCTAAAATTTTATTGGGTAACTTAAACAATTAATAATCCGTATTTCTACCGCGAACACTAACAACACAAGAACATCGGTTTGGCATACTCAAAATGAGTTCATCCAAATCACGCTGTGGAATGGCCGCCCATGTTCGTTGCAACAACAAAAAAAGGTCTTCTTGTGACTGGATACCCTCCATATTCGGCAGAGCTCTTCTCTGTAGCATATCCCATGCATGCTCAATCGGGTTCAAGTCTGGCGACTGAGCAGGCCAGGGCAGGACATTGATGTTAGCTGCGGCGAGAGTCTGTCTTACAACTCTTGCGGTGTGCGGTCGTGCATTATCATGCATCAACTGAAATAAGGGACCGATTTGCACTTGTAGAGGAACGATGACGTCTGATACAATCGTCTCAGCATAAATTTGAGCGTTGAGGTTGCCTCTGATCCAAATCAATTCAGTTCTTCCGCCGATCCAAATACCCGCCCATACCATGATGGTTCCACCACTATAAGGATGGACTTCCTGGCAGGATTTTAATCGCTGTTGGCGTCCAGGGGTTCTCCAGTGTCGTATACGTCTTGTATCCGGTCTCATACCAAAACGAGACTCATCAGAAAAGCACACGAAACGCCATTGTTCTTCTGCCCAATTTCTGTGTTCAAGAGCCCATTGATATCGAATCCTACGATTGTGCATTGCTATAGGTGGTACCCGTAGCGGTCTTCGGGAATGAAGGTTCACTTCATGCAAGCGGTTTCTGACTGTTTGGTCGCTAATTAAGTTCCCTGAAGAGTGATGAAGCCTCACGGCTAACATCATGGCGGTTATTGTTGGAGCTCTTCGAGTTAAGATTTGAATGTATCGGTCTTGTCTCCGTGTGGTGCAGCGATACCGTCCTCCATGGCGCTCAGCCACGGTACCAGTGCTTCGGTATCGTGTCCAAAGTCGACTGACTTGTATTCAGAGCTAAAGCCACAGTACGTTGCCGGGAACCAGCTTCTATCATTCCCACGGCTCTGAGCATTTCTTCCCTGCTTAAATGACGTCGCCGCTCCATAATAACGTTGGTTTTAATCAGTAGTAGGGAAACAGTAGCACTAATAATGTCTTCAATGCGTTGTATGTTTTTATAGGGAAAATATTGACAGCTGATTTTCATCTTTTACTCGAATTTGATTCACAGTTCCTGATTCAAATTATGAAATGCACCAAAAAGGATCCATATAAATTTATAAAATAATAAATTTATTACAAAGCCACATCTCAATCTCAAGAAATCCGCATAAAAATGCTTGATCCCTAGACACTTTTGATGTGTGTATTTGACTTTATTTTAAACGAAATAATGTATATTTTTTGCAGATTAGATTTACATATTATTATTATTTTATTTATTATTATATTATTATTTTCTAGTAATAATAGAAAAAACGTTCTAAGTTAATACAATACAATACAATACAAAAACTCTTTATTAAACACCACGAAAAACATTGAACATTCTGCACAAAAACATTTAGTACAGGTGATGCAATAGGCGGCCTTATCGCTTAAAGCGATCTCTTCCAGGCAACCTTTGGATGGAGAGGATTAGAAGGAAGTGGGAGAGACGGCGGTGTAAATCGCTAGTATAATATAATCTATTAGTAAATACATATCATACACATATACATATATAAGATATATATACATACATAAATACATACATAGATACAATAACTATAAATACATACATTGATCTAGTCCAGTTTTTAGAACATGAGATATTAAAAATAAAAGTATTACAACGTCAGATAGTGGGACTTCACAAGGTTTTTAAACGCATTAATAGTTTCCGCACGTCTTATCGAAACCGGAAGAGAATTCCATAGATGTACGGCTTGCACTGCAAACGAACGGTGGAAAAAAGTTGTGCCGTGTACGGGAGTCATAAGAGCAAGATTTTCTGATGACCTTAAAGATAACGTATTAGAATTATGAAGGAAATTAAAACTTTCCTTTAGATAGCGCGGGGACTTGGGATTGAACAATATGTTGTAAAGAAGAGAAAGGATATGAGTATTCCGGCGAAGGCGAATAGGTAGCCACTTGAGCTGTGAACGAAATTGAGAAACATGATCATATTTGCGCAAGCCAAATATGAAGCGGATACAAAAATTTTGAAGTCGCTCAAGTTTATTAAGCTGGTCCTCCGTGAGATCGAGATAGCAGACGTCAGCATAATCAAGTATAGGAAGCAATAAAGATTGTGCTAAGGCAATTTTGGTGGTGACGGGTAGAAAATTACGTAGTCTCCTAACTGACGCTGCTGAAGCATACAATTTGCAACTGACCACTTGCATTTGCGGGCCCCAGCTCATACAGTTGTCAAACGTTAATCCTAAGTTTTTTACTGACGTACTAAAAGGGATAACATTTCCAGCAATTTCGATGTTGGGTAGTGACTGCCAGTCCACTCTATCTAACATTCTAGAACTACCAATTACTATGCTAGTTGTCTTGGAGGGATTTATTTCCAACCCAAAAGATTTGCTCCACTTAGAAATCACATGTAGATCACTGTTTGTACACCGCACTGCTTCATCAAGTTGACCAAGAGGAGCTTGGCAATAGATTTGTAAGTCATCTGCATATAGGTGGTAGGAAGAAGAAATATTGTTTGAAACGGAGTTAATTAATACAGCGAAAAGAAGAGGAGATAAGACGCCGCCTTGGGGAACGCCAGCAGTCGTTTCGCTCCATGAAGAAAATTTCTCCTCGAGGCGAACGCGCTGCTTGCGCCCATGCAGATAACTGCGAAACCACTCAATCACTGATGGAGATACGTTAATTGAGCGCAGCAATGCTAAAAGAACCTCAAAGTCGACAGTGTTAAAAGCATTGCTAAAGTCTAACAATGTTAATACCGTAAGGAGACCGTTATCCATCCCAAAGCGTATATCATCGGTTACTTTAAGTAACGCAGTCGTTGTACTATGGCCAGGACGGAAACCGGATTGGAAAGGATTAAAAAGATCGTGGCGAGTGAGGAATGTATTCAACTGGTTATGGATAAGACGTTCAAGAACCTTAGATAGAAAGGGAAGGATAGAAATGGGACGAAAATCGACCATGGTTTGAGGGTTCGATCTTTTAGGAAGAGGAATAATTTGGGCTTGTTTCCAAACTGACGGGAAGACTCCGTTGTAAATCGAGCTGTTAAAAAGGAAGGTAAGGATAGGAAGAATAATATCCAGGATAGGTTTCAACATGTTTCGACTGATGCCGTCATTCCCCACCGCATTGGAAGAGATAGAAAGCATGCTATTCTTAACGTCACATTCAGTGAATTGAGTAAAGACAAAAGGAGAGTAGTCAGGAATTGGTAACGAAGAAAGGTAGTTTAAAGTGCAAGACTTCTGAGAGTCACTGAGACTAGAAGAGGAAGAGAATTGAATGTTGAGAGAATCTACGCTGATGCTACTAGGAGTAGAATCGTGTCGGGACTTACCAATTCCAAGTGATTTGAGAAAATTCCAGACTTTTGCTGGATCTTTATTATCGACAGAATCATGAATATGGCGACGCAAGGCATCCCTACACACCAAATTGCAGCGATTTCGAGCTTTTACATAGTTGACTTTATTATAATCGGTCGGGCGATGTTTATATTTGCTTTTAGCAACGTCTTTTTTATGCATTAGGGCCCTGATCTCTTGAGTAAGCCACGGCGCTGGAACGTGTTTGAGCTTGATGGGACGAAAAGGAGCATGCTTGTTATAAAGCTCGGTAATTATATTATTAAAGTTCTCAACTTGTTCGTCGACGGTCACCGCCCCAATTACCAACGACCAATCCGTATTTTGAGCGTCATCAAGAAACGCGTCCCTATCCATACCACCAAAATTACGCTGAAGAATGACTTTGGGCTTAACTTT